TGTGCATGTGTGTGTATGTGTGGGTAGAGGTATGTTTATGTGTGTATGTAAAGGTGTGTGTATGTGTGTGCATATGGGTGGTGGAGATGCATGATCAACCTAGGGTTACCGGTTCATAGCTTCATCCAAGACTCAATAGGAGATGAGCATATCACACTGGAGAATGTCGATGGAGCTGGAAAAGGAATCAGGCTCAGTTTCATGCACGATTCCTCCACCTTCTCAGTGAGTGGCCTGGTGAAAAGGATGAGGCCGGAGGAAACCCAGGCACAAGGCATCTGTCATTTACAGAAAGTCGTCTCTACAGACACAGATGTGGAACCCAGCTCAGCAGTGTATTCTAGAGCTGTCACTTTCATCTTTTTTTCCTTATAAGTAAGATTACAGCTGAACTCCAGGTCTTTGTGGAGGACAGAAACGCCACTAGGCCCGTCAAGAGGTGAGCACTTTGAGAAGCCCTGATAGTCAGGTCCTGGGAAGGTGACCCACAACTCTAGGCTAGAAGGCCCAGGGAAGGGGCTGCCAGCCTGCTTCTCATGGGACACAAAGCCCCAGCCACCACATGCTCTAAAGCAACATCCTAAAGGCAGTAGGAAGTGAAGGAGTATGAACACAGCCGGCCCACTTCCTGACACTCTTAATAGGTAGCTGACCAGCCAGACACACGGGTTAACGGATACACCAGATGAGAAGGCTCACTGCCCTAGGCAGCAGGTTTAGGTCACCCAGGTGCAGACAAGGGTACCGGAGGGCACAGACCCAGGCCAGGTGGTCAGCACCGCTGTGGCGTGGGGGACACAACCTGAGTAACCTGGAAGGGGCCTCCTTCTCTTGATGAAGAGAAAGGAATCCACAGAAATCCACAGAAACCCATTCTGCTGGGATGGATACATGAAACGCCATCCACAAGAAAGGGGCGCCAAGGGACAAGATGACATAAGCTTCAGCAAGTGGCAGCAAGGATGGCAGGGTTCTAGCAGTGGCCAAGGTCCTGACAGAGCCTGCTCATCTGACTGGAAGCATGGGGTGGCCATGGCACCGTCACTGCCACACGAGTACACCAGGATCCCAGGCAGATGCCGCACACTCATCAAAAGGCCTCCCTCTGCTCCACTAAACCACAGCCAAGTTCAAGGGCCAACCAAACTGAACCACCAAGTGTCCCAGCCTTGTTCCTGCCATGGGGCTCTGTCCTGCCGTGTGCTCCTTATATTCATGAGAGGGAACTGCAGTCCAGGGGTCCTGACCACCGTCTTGCTATGCAACTGGACTTCAACTTGTGCAGCCCGGCAGGGCAGAGCTGGTCCTTCCCCCACAGTCAGGCTTCAAATGGTGGGTCTAGGTACTGCCAAGTTCACATTCCTGTCAGCGTTAACGGGGTTTGGGTTCCTGGCCACTGGGTGAGAAGAAAACCCTGAAGTATAAAGCAAAGAATCCAGAAATTGGGCACTCTAGCATCAGACTCTGCCACGCCTGGATGTCCCTGCTTCCACCCTGCCCCGGCCTCTACTCTGCCCCTGCTTGGGCAGGACAGATTCTGGAAGGTGCTGGGTAGCTGCGGGGCGTCAATCGGCACTGGTGACAGATCTGCTCCTCTCAACGTACAATCACTACTCATGCAGTGAGAGCACTCGCCAATAAAACACCTTAAACTCGGTAGCGGCTGGGTGGCTTCTGTAAACAGCCACTCAAGGCAGGATCCAAAGTAAAGCAGGGATCCAAGTGTCGGTGCGATTGGTGCAGTGCCTTCCGGCTTCCTTTCCCAAATTAGGTGAGCCTGACATCTAATTTTCCAATTTCACGGTTCTCTGTGGCTGTTTGGCTCTCGATCAATATGAATCTCTTCCATGTGGAGTATCTGTCAGTTAGATAAACACCCTCTTCTCCTCACTTTTGTCTTTAACAGCAAGGGATGATCTGTGAGCTACTGATCATCTGAGACCCGGGCAAGATAACTGGGAGCTGGTGGCAGCCTGGCTCCACATATCCGCCTGTCTCAGAGGCTCCTGCTTCAGGCTGTCCTCTCACTACTCACAGCCAAGCACAGGCACAGAGCAGACGCGGTCACTGGCTCATCAGCCTTCCCCTGCCCATGATTCTTTGTGTTAGGATTAAAGGCTGGCTGGTACCACAGTGCAGCCCCCCAGTACCAGCTACCCAGGAGCAGAGACAGGGGGACTCCGTGAGGCAAGGAGTTCAGGGACAGCCTTGGCAATATAGGACAATCCCATCTTAAAAGTGAAAATCGAAAAGATTACTGACTTTTTTTTTCTTTTCCTGCCAAATTTAGATCAGAATTCATGCATCCTCAAAAGAAAAAAGGAAAAGTTCAGACTGCTCTGAAATGATCGGTTTTCATTTAGACTTTTAACTGTAGCAAATGATATAAAAAGCCAAAGGAGCACAGACAAGTCATGAGCCAGGGTCTGCTGTGGAACCGAAGGACCAGCAAAGCCACAGACAGAATTCTGGACACTGACCTCCAGTTGCCACAGCCCAGGGTCCCAGATGTGACTAGCATCGTGAGAGAGGAGCTCATCCGGGGTAGCCGCGCTACAGGGAAGCCAATGCCATGTGTGGTAAGAGTGGGAAACAGACCTGGGATGGAGCCAGAGACATGAGGGATGGAGACAGCAATGTGCTGGCAGAGCGGAGAGGAGAGGAGATGGACGCCGAGGGAGCTGAGGACTAGCCTGCAGGAGAAGGAATGGGCCTCTCCCAGAGGAACACACCTGCCACACCTGGCTGTGCCTGTGGAACTGACTGAAGCTGTGGCTTCCAGAAGTGTGTGAATATAAACCCTGTCACTCTTAGACAGCAGCCCCACACAGTCCCTGAGGAGAGATGGGCTGAAGCCTCTCATTCCCTCGGGAGCTTTATCTCCTCAGATGTTTGCTGAGGGCTCTTTCCTGCAGCCGAGGTCACCATGTGTACTTCTGAGCATCAGCTGCTGGGCCCTTCTGCCCCACTGATAGAGACAAAGGTGACAGTGGCATCCTGTCTGGGTAGAGAGGGAGGAGCCACCCAGACAGTGCTCACACTTGCTGCTCCTGAGGCCAATTCCAGAGACTGGGATGAGCCCAGAGAGATGGAAGCCTTGATGTATGAGACCCCATCGACCCCCTGGCTGAACACAAATCAAATAGCCCCAACATCCATGGTGGACTGCCTCTGAAGGCTTCCTGCATCACTCCAATCACAGAGAGAAGACACGAATGGTAAAGAAAGAGCTGTGCTGGGAGAAAGCTGTCAGTACAACCCTTGCCTAAGTTTGATCTCTAGAACCAATTTGAGGGAAAAAAAAAAAAAAAAAGGTCCACAGGCAGGCGTGGTAGCCCATTCTTGTAATCCCAGGTCAGAGGAAGTGAGACACAGGGATCCCCAGATGCTTGCTGCCCTACCAGTCCCATCAGCTGCAGTTCCAAGCCAGCAAAACACACACACACCAAGTCGCAGCTAGCACCCAAGGAATGACAATCAAGGTGTTCTCTGCACACAAAGCAGAGTGACCTAAGTAGTTATCAAACCTTTGAGAGAGGTAACAAGAAAGCATGGCCACTATGGAGGCCACGGTTCAGACCCCAGCCTCAGCCCTGAGCAATCTGGCTCAAGGTGGGAGGAGAAGGCTCTGTCCTCTGCAGTCTAACTCATAGACCCACACCTAGAGGGCAGACGTGAAACCCAGACAACCAGTACGGGAGGTGGAACCCAGGGCCCACCGCCTACCCACCTGGAAGATCACAAATGGATTCAGACAGCCTGAGTCCAGAGATCATCTCAGAATATGTATCCCCTGACAATCATCCAAGAGAACCTAAGTTCTGGGCCACTGAGGCAAACCTCACAAGGCTGAGACCCAAGGAGACCGGTCCTGGAAACAGGTAGTGGCAGCATCAACCTTCACCCCTCCTCCCTGCCAGCCCTCCAGCAAAGGGTCCCCAACCACGCAGTATCAATTTCACGCCACAACCTAGCTCAAATGAGAGGTGCAGTGAACTTGGTACTGCCGCCTAATTCCCTTCACAGGCATCCACGGTGGCAAAGGAAGTCTAACAGCCCATAATTAAAGTCATCCGCTCTCCCATGTATGGACCCTGGCACACAAGGTG